TTTTTAAAAAAAAAAAAAAAAAAAAAAATGAAGAAGCGTCAATTCCATGATGAGAAAAAATTCACTAAAACTCTCTAGACATCTTTGGTGCAAAAGGACTTAATTAACTTTAGAGAAAATCCCATCTTCTTAAATCCGAACCGGATAAACTTTTTGATTTGCCTCAGCGCTTTTGATTGTAGGACATTTTGTCAACGAATTTTTGTCGGCGCACCTGATTTTTCTAGTAGTTTATGTCCACGCGTTTTTTTGGACGGGGAGTTTTGGTCCACTTACCGATAGACACCAAAAGTTAATTGGTCCATACGTGAATACAAACGACAATTGCTCACGACATTTTTGGATGAAAATGTATAATGTCTTGGAAGAACGAGGGCTTTCTTGGTTTTTTTTCGTTTGTTTGTTTGGTCCAATGGAGAAAAATATATAATTGAGATTTTTAGTTAAAATTGGGGATGCGTCAAGTTCATGAGAACAAATTCACTAAAACGTTTAACATCTCATTGGTGCAAAAGGACTTAATTAACTTTCAAGAAAATCCCATCTTGTTATAGCTGAACCGGATAAACCTTTTGATTTGCCTCAGCTAAAGGCTCATAGATTTTTTCTGTGTACAGTAACTTCGCGACGGTGCCGGCGTACCGCTACGCTTCGAGCTACTATTTTGCCAAAGAGGTGTTGCAGAGTATCACACGAGATTGAAGGCACCCCGACGTATCATGACTGATGGGATCTTTCAAAAGCTCGAGGTTCCCTCGCAAATTAAATAGAGTGACGACGACAAAAAGAGGGCGGTAATCGATAAACTTACTATGTCTTACTATCTGTATTCAATAACGTTTAGCATGATTTATGAACCTCAATAGGAGAAAATGAGACATAATTCTAGCAAAATTTTTCTCACATTCACCGCCGAGAAGTTTTCTAAATCAATGAAGAACATAATGCCTGTTTAAAGGAGAAAAACTCTTTTAATTAAAAAAGAGTCACTTACATCAAGTAGAAACTCAAGCTTTCATTCAGCTATTTTATTCTTGATTCAAAATAAAATCTTCTTGACGGCATACTTAAGATTCTCTCTGCCAAAATCGAGTCACTTTTTTCTCTAATGAAACTCAGAAATTGTGCTAAACGTTATTAAATACGGTTGCTAGGACTTTGTGAGTATTTGGAGTACCGCTTTCTCTTTGTGCCGTAGTATCTTTATTTATTTTGCGAGGAAAGCTCCGCACTGTCAAGGATGCCTGTCATTCTTAATATGTTGGAGAGCCTTCAATTTCGTATGATACTGTGCAACACCTCTGTGGTGAAATAGTTGCTTGAGGCGCCGTGACACGTTGCGTGAGCAGCCGACCAGCGCCTGCAAACCTAAGGGGATACTTCAAGCATTGCGCAATGCGTGAAGTTTCCCCTTAGGTTTGTAGGCGCCAGTGCGAGTTTTGCGCTGGCAGCACGCCATTCCGCTCTGTTATTGGCTCTAATTTTTGAACTCTCGGAGTCATTGTTTTTCAATTCATGATTTTGAAATACTTGCATACTCTGCATGAATTATCCTCATTTAAATTGTTGGAAAAGCTATTATTAAAGGAAAATATAATGTGTGTTTTGTAAATATTAAAATGGTTCCGTGGATCGTATTCGATACATTAAACAGGCCTTTTATAGCTAAGATCGATCGATATCGATTGTTTCAACTTGTGAACATGGCCTCAAAACTCAATCGAGTAATCAGTTTTTTGTGATTGATTTTTTATTCTTATGAGAAAAGTATCGCATTGAAAAGTGATATCGTCAGGAATCCCTTCTGTTTCAGCTTTATGATCCATGAACTGTATTCCATAGTGGTTGTATCGATGTATCGTTTGATTCAAAACACTAGAACACAACCTTCAAAATAAATTTAGGATTTAAGGTGGGAAAAATTAAAAAAAGAAAATTCCTAACTATCTCACTTTTCATTCGCATTTGGTGCTCAAAAAAAATAAAAAATCAATCACAACAAACCCTTTCCCTCAGATTTCTAAATTGACTTTTACGGCTATGTCTGCATGTTGAACCAATCGATATCGATACAATCTCGCCTGTTGGATGTATCAAATTCCATTCATTAGAGCTCTACCGCTTGTTTCATTGTTTGATCGATTCATGTGGATCGAATCCATACCCTCCCTCAATGGAGATGTTGCATGTGTGAGGAATTTGCGATTTGACTGTTGATTATAATGTAAAAGTTCGCGAGAAACACGATGGTGCCCCTGGTTTTCCCTGACTTCAACTCCTAAGCTCATAAAAAGCTTTCAAAGTTGAGGCAAAATGGAAGGGATATCCCTCACTATCCTGAGAGTCCACCTCTACATGAAGACAAACTCTCCATGCAAAGATAGGGAGCAAAAGAGCAAATACATTGACATGGCTGCCACTTTATTTGGGGACTCCAAAACTGGAAACTCGGCAACCCTGCTAATGTTTTTGCTCCCTATCTTTGCATGGATAGTTTGTCTTAATGTAGAGGTGGACTCTCAGGGTAGGGTGGGATATACCCTCCATTTTGGGCTCAACTTGAGAGCTTTATTTGAGCTTGGGAGATGATTTCAGAGAAAACCAGTAGCACCACCGTGTTTCTCGCGAACTTTTACATATGAATCAACAGTAAAATCGCAAATTCCTCACACATGCAACATCTCCATTCCTTGAAAGCTCCAGTTCATCATTAAAATATCCACTTGCGTTGTTCCAGATCCTGTGTCGCTCGGAGAAGAAGCGGAAATCGGCGGAGGCGCTGCCGAGATGCTGCTCGAACGGGTTCATCTCGACGATGACGTCATCGGGTGCGTCGAGGGAGGCCCAGGCCCAAGCGCAGGCGCAGTTGCACCACAACCGGGACCTGGAGGGCCTCAGCGAGAAGTACTGGGGCGAGATCCTGGAACGGACCGTATCCTGCAGCAGCCTCCAGACCCTGCAGAGGGTCTACCCCCCGCCTCCCCCGCCCAAGAGCAAGCCCCCTCCCGGCGAGTCCTTCTACTTCCTCAACGACTGCTGAAGTGCTGAAACTCACCTCCGAGACCCCCTCACTTCAGCCGGACTGAAACCATGCGCCTGTGATCCGTGCAAGAATTTTCCCATCTCGTCGCTCTCAAGGCGGAAGAACGACTCCGGCCACTTCTGCCGTGCTGAGAAAAAACGCCGTAGGAGACTTTAAACGTTGCCAGATTTCCGTAAATTAAACTCGAATTTACTAGGAGAATTTTAAATATTTTTCTTCAAATCTGGCAGACGATTTTGTTCGCAATTTGATGGAAAATTTCCGAGAAAATACGGAAATATGTTACGGCAAATGTTTGTACGGAATGTTAATACGTATGTTAATGCGGGAATATTTTATGTAAATACGGAATATGTTTTATCCGGGGAAATTTGGCAACTCTCGAATGTTCATACGATGTTTTTCCTTAGCACGGCAGACCTCTCCAGCGGATGATCACGTGTTTCAGTTGTGCTGGTCTCAGAATCGTGTTTTGATTCTTGATTCTTGTAGATTAGCTAAAAATAATAATAATAAGATATATCCAAACAGCAACTTTCTACGTTCAATATTGTCGAAGATATCGCCCTTTGAAAAGTCGGTTTTATGACGTCATCCACCGCGGTAATGGCACCCTTGGTCTCTTCCACCTTGCTTCTGTCAGTCAACGATACACACATTTGCACTGGGTCACTCAACATTATATCCGGATGAAAGCAAGGTGGAAGAAACCGATGGTGTCACTACCGCGGTAGATGACGTCTTAGACTGAATTTTTCAAAGCACGATATCTCGGTTAATATTGAAGGTAGGGTGTTGCTGTTTGGACGGATCTTTTATGTTTTTAGCTGATCTACACGAATCAAGAATCAAAGTACGATTCTGAGACCGGCGCAACTGACCTATTTGATAATCAGAAATGACCTGTAGCGCACGAATATTCCGATGATATTTTTGGTATGCATTTGTGAAACTAGAATATTCTCAAAAAATATTTATTTTTGCGGAGAACAAAGCGGGGAGACGCACCAGTCGATAGGCACCATTTGGACTACATTTTGCAATTTGGAACTATAAATTCTGGCTCTTCTGGAAAAACACTCATGTGCATAGGAAAACTAATGGCACATATCGACGGTGAAACTACCAAACCACGTATCTCGGTTTGCGACGTCGCAGACTTCCTGTCATACTTTATTTTTTAAATGAAAAACTACTTAACGTCCAGTCTTGAAAGTTTCTGTGATTTTTCCTCTTCGTGCGGAGAAAATTCTGTGAAAATTTTAAGGAATGATATTGATTTGGTCTACTTCAAAGAAATAAAATGTGAGCGTAGATTTTTAAACACCGCAAACGAGATACGTGGTTTGGTAGTTTCACCGTCGATATGTTGTTTTTAAACCGGGCTAGAATTTATAGTTCCAAATTGCAAAATGCAGTCCATTTAGTGATCATACGGTCAGAAGCAGCGTGACGTAAAGCGGATTTTGGCGACCGGATTCGGTCAATTTTTTATCAAGTTCTTCATCTAGGTCAAAATGTCAAGCAAATCTACTAGCAAAAATTCACCTGTAGTGACTTTGAAGGAAATTACTTGACGAGAGAAATTGGACTACATTTGTGACACATTGCGATTCGGAGCTACATCTCTGGCTCAGTGTCGAAACAACGTATGTACCATTGATTTCCCTATGTACGTAAGTGTTTTTACGGATGAGCCAGAAATTGTAGTTCCTAATTGGATTACATTTTGCAATAAGGAACCACTATCTTTGGTTCTCCCATAAAAGCACGTATCTGTATAGGGGAACCAATAATATGTATGTTCTGTCTAAAATAGGCCAGAAATAGTGGTTCCTTATTGCAAAATGTAATCCGATTACAAAACGTTTATAGTCCGCAATCATGCGCTTCGAGAAATTTTTCCCTTTTCAATGAGGATATACTCCGCGAAATGCAGTCATGACGTCACCTTGGCTCTGATCGTATGAACGTCGGCAGAATGTTTTTGAATATTCTCATGCCGATTATTAAGTCCATTTAGAAAGTTCTTTGAATGTTCGAGAATATTTTTTGAATACCCTCGAAATATATTTTGAATAACATTTTTGAATATTCTATGATTACGCAATGAATTTATACTATAGGAACATTTTTTTAGTATTCTTTAAATATAAATAGATCTTACACTACTTTCTTAGGTAAATTACATCCCGTATGCCCCTGGGGGGCGTAATAAGGGACTTAAACAACAACACAATTGATTTTTTGAATCCCGTGTTAGAATTATCTACAGAAGATTGCAGGCATTAAAAGGTACCTTTACTGCATATCTTCATTTAGTGTCTTGTATGATTCTCCAATACTAAAAATTGACAGGATAGGTGCTAATTCTTCATGGAGCATAACTGCACTAGCAATATGGACAACATTTTGCAATAAGTAACCACTATTTCTAGCTCATTTTAGAAACAACATAGATGCCACTGGATTCCCTAAGCAGAAAGGTGCTTTAATGGAAAAGCCAGAGATGGTGGCTCTTCATTGCAAAATGTAATTCAAAATTGTTCCGATGTATCGCTCCTTAAAAAAATGTCTCCTCATTTTGAGCAAATAGTGTCAGAAATCATCCCTCTCATTTGAAGACTCATGAAATTGTTGGATTTGCATTTGACAACACCTATAGCTTTTGTATCTTTTCATATCCTTTTTCTCGTCTTCTTTTTCTTCTTTTTGGACTACTTGAGATCCCGAGCAAAATAAACCTTAATCGGCCTCTCAGATGAAAAAAAACGAACAAAAAGAAAACGCAAGTCTATTTCCACATTGGCCGAGGTAGTGAAAAACTGTCTTGCTGACAGTGTATTGTAAGCCTTTTAATAAATCTGCCTTTGAAAAGCTAAGTACAAGGTATTCGAGTTGGTAGCTGTCTCAAGTGGACAAGATCCCATATTTTGACTCCATGATGCAATAGAACTAATATTTCAGGTTCATCCATAAAACCACCTGTTTGCTCAGGGAAACTAATGAAACATGTTTTGTTTCTACAATGAGTCTTAAATAATAGCTCCTCATTACAGAACGCAGTCCATTTGATCAAGTTCGACAAAAGACCATCAAACATTTTAGTTATAATAAGATAAGCTTATTTGTACCGTTCCATGTGTGTATAGTGTAAAGTATTGGTAGATCATTATTACCTTATCATAAGCTTTTAATGTCTGTTTCGTTCAATGTTCCGTGCGTTCATTCCAAAAAATTACCGTCTGATAGAACAATTCCTCGCATAAGCTCATTTCTAACCGTTAGGTAGGTAACGCTACCCTTAAATCACTATAGTTTCTTCTCTGAAGCAAATAATTCATGACAAGCAGTGCAAAATTCCCCTGAAACCGCATTTGTCTCAATTAGCTGAAAAATACTCTGAACCTAGGTCATTTTCTTTCGAAATGCACCACAATTTCCGAAAGAGTCCACATCTAACAATGACGAACCACTCTTTTAGAAACTGTAAAGCTCTGTATCAGCAATCAAAGCAGAAACTCAAAATGGAGCGATAGCTCGAAATCTTACAATCATACATCAATATGACCACAGCTTATCGATGTCCCACCCTCGCTCCTCGTTGCAATCGTAGATACGGAGTGTAAAAATGAGATTTTCCTCTCATTTTTCTAATCTTTCCGTTCTCGTTAAAGTCAGGGAAACGCAATCTGATCTCTGGTGTAAGTTTTTTGGAATGAGTCAAACAAAACATTGAAATGTCATCATGAATTTAATTTTTCTTAAATGAAAGAAAAAAATAAATGAAATATATACCCAATATTGTCGCTGTTGCACTCAATTGCATATTTTTTTAAATAAAAAATCTCGAAAAACGTGAAAACGACAGTCTATTTCAATTCAGAATTGCAGAAAATGAAGCGTTTATTTTGAAAAGGTGCTAACTCCGAAAAAAAAAAATACACCGATAGATAGGAATTTATATAGATAGATAGGGGTCAAGAAAAACTACACTGGAGGCAGAAAAGGATTACATTTCTGCCAAAAACTTAAGTTCGGAAAAAAATCCGACTTGGCACCTTTTTCTTAAATAATCGCTTCAATTATTGGAGTCTCAGTTTTTTGCCAGTGGATTTGCCTGAAACTTTATTACCTGTTCAAAAATCAGCTTACTTTTCGTCTGAAAATAGTGAAGAACTGGAGGTTTGTGTCCGCTGTGATGCATTGAATCAACTTTTTCAATTTTGTATGTGCTGAATTCCATGTAATTGAAAAATGCTTAGTGCACTCTGAATTACTTAATGCATACCCAATTCTCTGATATTGGCCAGTTTTACTGATTTTAACCGAAAGTAGACATCTTGGTTTAGGTCATTTTTTACTATAAGTTTTGCTGGTTTTTTTTAAGACTACACGCAAAAATCAGCAAAATTTTAGACAGAAAATATACAACCATACTCTTACAAAAAGAAGCTTTGTTTGAGTTAGTTTTGATTTGAGGGAGGCGGAATGGTTGACAATTAGCTCAGACTCGTCAAAAAAAAAAAATTAATAAAAAGAATAATTTTTATTATGTTATACATTATGGAAAAAATGAAATTAGAGATAAGATAAGATAAGATGAAACTTTATTATGCTCCTTCTTACAGTATAACAAGATTATTTAATAAGTGCGAACAAAATTGCTGATTTAATAATGTTTTAGATTAAAAAATTGTCCGATTTGTTTCAATGTAGATTTTATAATAAAAAAGCTAATGTAACTGCCCCCGTGGTTAAATCAGCTCTTCATTATTGTAAAATGTATTTGAAACACGCCGGACATATTTTTGACAATTTAATCAATAAATGAGCAATCCATTTTTTCTCGTGTAGAGTATTTTATCTCATGTCACAGACATCGTTTCATAATGTTAATTGTGACACATATTGTTCATTAACTCACAATACCATTCACTGCCGGGCAATTAATTGAAATTAATTGAAACGAAAGAGAGGGTAAATAAAGTACAACTAATTTATTTTCAACACCGTCCATTACTTTCCCTTGGTTTAAAAGTCGCAAGGATTTTCTTCAGGGAGCGGAGTGCCATTGAAGATGAAAGTTTTAAGTCCTCGGTTTTTCCATTGACTCTAGCACAAAATTGCGTATAATATATGATAACATGATTTTCTCTTCCAGCATAGCATATTTTTGTCCTGAAATGCAAAAGAGAAAGTTCACAAGGTCTTATACCGAGATACGTGCTTTGGGATTTTCACCCTTGTTCAGTGGCGTGGCGTGCTTTGCGATATATCGATCGTTATGTCATTTAAACCTATGGAAAAGGATCGATAATCAGGGTGTTCGCAGCGAACACCTTAATAATCGATTCTGTACCATAAGTTTAAATGGCAGAACAATCGATATATCGCAAAGCACGCCACGCCTCTGCCCTCGTTATAAAATTTGCGCGGCTGGTTGAGAACTATGCCCATAGCTTTCTTTATATCGTGACGCGAGTGCAGCGAAATCGAAAATAAAAATTAAATTCCAAATCCAGGAAAAACTTTCAAATCGGAAGATTTTCCGTCATTACACAATTTACTTACAAT